CCAAGTTGCTGGGCTTACAGGTGTGAGCCAGTGGAACTGTTCAGCTGCATTGTCTTGATGTGCTTATAGAATACCTCCTGCTTCCCCAGGATCCAGTTTGCTCCCTCCCTGTCTCTCCCAACTTGCCCTCACTCCATCGCGTCTACCGATCCCCTTGTTCCAGCCCTGGTCCTCTTCTCCTCTCCCAGCCCCCGGGGCCAGGACTGTATGTTATTATCAGAAATTGGTGAGCGCACATCCTCTTGTCCTCACTGGAGAGCTGCTCCCAGTGGAAAGGCTGAGTCCCAACCTCCGGCATAGCTGTGGCTGGATAGCCCAGGCTGCGAGCCCTGGGCTGGGGCCAGGAGGGGTAGAGGTCACCTTCAGCCTTCCGACAGTGACATCTTGTTACAGGAATGGCTTGTAGCTCCCAACTCCACATCCTCGCTTGTTTGCACACACAGGCCAGGCAGCTGCACCTCTGCGCTGCCTCCAGTCGCTGGTTAATTGCCAGAAAATAATTCGCCCTGAGGTCATTGCCGCTTAAACAGCTGGCTTCATCTTTTCCTGTTTGGCTGGTCGTTCTGGGCTCTCTGACCCTCCCTTCACCTGCTTCTGTGACCCTCTCACACACAGCCGGCTGGATAGCCTTCAGGCTGGGCTCTTCTCCCTGCAGCTTAACTTGGCAAAGTTGTGATCCTCCTGCTGTGCTGATGCCACACTGTTCTGAGAACAGGCTAGCCCCTCCACCCCATCGCGACCTGCCTGGATGCCACACTGTTCTGAGAACAGGCTAGCCCCTCCACCCCGTCGCGACCTGCCTGGATGCCACACTGTTCTGAGAACAGGCTAGCCCCTCCACCCCGTCGCGACCTGCCTGGATGGCACACTGTTCTGAGAACAGGCTAGCCCCTCCATCCCGTCGCGACCTGCCTGGATGCCACACTGTTCTGAGAATAGGCTAGCCCCTCCACCCCGTCGCGAACTGCCTGGATGCCACACTGTTCTGAGAACAGGCTAGCCCCTCCACCCATCAGGCTCTCTCTTGCAGGAAGCTTTGCAAACACTGTCTCTCTCTAATCATTGAGGGTGGCCGGAGAGACAAAGAGGAATGCTTCCACAAAGCTCCCTTCTTCGTGGCAGAATCAGTCCAATGGAGAAATTCTGAAATTCCGGTTTTACGAAGTTCTTCAAACTTACCTCAAGGATGGCACCCGCTGAGGCTCAGTTGCCCTGCCTCTCATGCCTCAGTGTATCTGCCCCAGAAACCCTTGTCTGGGGCTCAGCTTGCCCCCACGTGGCATAAGTCTCTCCAAAGACTCCATTTCTTGTTAGTCATCTTAATGTCACCATGAGAAATATCTGCAAAGCCTCTCATTAAAGAAAGTATTGGTTTGATTCAGAAAATGCTATGCTGTTCCAACTTCACTTTTGATCTATGGTTTTAGAAAGTATCCAACTTTGCTTCTAGTTTCAGCTGTTCTGTTAAAGAATTAATGAAAAAAAAACCCACTATGCTACAGGGAGGGAGTGGGAATTAACGTGTGGGTCCTGTTCTGTGCTTAACACACTGGTTCCCTCTGCATTTTGAGCCTGAAATGGGATCGTTCTTCTGGAAGGCAGATGCTAGAAGAGCTTTCCTTGGGATTCTCATTACCCATTTCCATCAAACCAGACCATTCGCTTCTAGAAGGACCATGCATGCCTGTAATCCCAGCACTTTGGGAGGCCAAGGTGGATGGATCACGAGGTCAAGAGACCGAGACCATCCTGGCCAACATGGTGAAACTCCACTTCTACTAAAAAAATACAAAAATTAGCTGGGCGTGGTGGCACATGCCTGTAGTCCCGGCTACTCGGAGGCTGAGGCAGAAGAATTGCTTGAACCCAGCAGGCAGAGGTTGTAGTGAGCTGAGATCGCGTCACTGCACTCCAGCCTAGAGCCTGGCGACAGAGTGAGGCTCTATCTCCAAAAAAAAAAAAGAAGGACCATCCCTGAGTCTGTAAGGGACAGACCAGTCACAAAAACAAGAGTGGAGCTGGAGGTGGACTGGAGTTCACTGGGCAGGTTCAGTTCACACCCTGGCACACAGGGCCTGTGAAGGCAGAACAAGGTACAGGTGAGAGCCAGGAGGGCAAGCAGGGATCCAAGGGTGCACAGCGCCAGGGAGCAAGACAAGCAGAGAGGCCTGGAGCCAGAAGGATGTTCCAAAACAAGGATGCTAGCAATGAGCTCACAGGTCATGGGTCAGAAGCTTCTGGCCCAAGGCTTTGCAGAGGCCATGCCTGAGCTGAATGTTGGTGGTGGAGCAGCCAATAACGGAACACAGATGGAGCCAAGGTGGGGAATTCCAGGCAGAAGGAACAGCCAGAGAGAGAACAAAGGGAGGGAGGCTGGAGGCTTTGCTGTGCGAAGCTCTGTGCACACTCAGGGAATGCTTCACAGGCTGCAGAGATAGTGACTAGCTTCTGAGATCAGAGCAGGCTGGGCTAAGAAAAGTGAAGAGTGGAGGGGTAGACCCGCATTAGAGCCCATGGCCGTGAACCCAGGACAAGCCACGGGGGTGGAGGAGCAGGCAGGAGATGCTCCACTACTGCTGGCAAGGAGGAGGGCAGCCTGCAGGGGGTGCTGCCTGGAGCATCACTGGCCTACCCCATCTGCGGGCGAGGACACTGAAGCTCAGCCCACAAGGCCACCATGGATGGCCCTAAAGGTTGTGTCCTATACAAGGGGAACACAGAAGGCTGGCGCCCTGGACAGTTGGCAAGGGGCTGAGTGAAGGGCAGTGAGGGATGCTCGTGTGCCTGGGGTTCCCCTTTTTTTCTCCACCTACACCCACTCATTCCTCACCTCTCCTGACACCCTGTCCCTTGGGGGAGCACCTAACACCCCTGCATCCACCTGAACCATACCAGCCCTAAAGTGCTGAATCCCCACTAAGTCAGCCCAGTGCTCACCCATCCATCCCTCCGCACAGCTGCCGTTTAGTGGGGAAAGTATCATGTAGCAGGTCTGCGCACAGGCTCGGCAGCCAGAATTCCTGGGTTCCATGCCTCACCCGGCCATGGATTTGCTGTGTGACCTCAGGCAAGCTACCTAGCTTCTCCACGCACGTGTCCTCATCTAGAAAATGAGGCTGACGCTCATGCCCACGTGGCAATGTGATGAGTAATGCTAGTACTCATCTCTGAGGGTGGATGGGAGAGATCACGCAATGTGCCTGCAAGGGGGCTGGCAACTGGGAGCACTCATACATGTTGGCTGTCACCGTCAGGGTGCACCACTGTGTGCCAGCCTCTGCTCCATGCTCCTGGGCTGCTCCCATGAACAAGGCATCGACTCTGCCAAGGAAGGGTGCTTTTTTTTTCTTTTGAAAAAAGAAAGGGATGCTTTCTGCTGCTCCCACTCTGGAAACACTGCATGCCCTTCTGTTAGTCTACTAGGTTTGAGAAGCAAGGCCAGCGTACCCTGAGTTGGGGTAATGCCTCCTAAGCCATTGGCAGAACTTCTGGGGGTCCCTGAAAAGAATTCTGGGCTCTGCTGGTGCAGCATGGGCCCTCCTTGGTGTGGTGAGCTAGGAGAAGGAGGACAGCACGGGGCCAGTGATATTAACTGTGTGGAAATAGAACTCCTCCGAATTACAGGGCACCTAAGAATTTCTTACTGACTTTTGTTTAATAATTCAAAAAACAACATCAAATCAAACTTAAAGGAGGCTAAAGCTGTCTCTGGAGGCTTCATGCTTCCTAGAGCCAACCTCTTACAGAATCGTGGCAGCAAACCACCCGCCTCTCCAGCTCACTAAGGAAGCCGGAGGACTCCACAGCTGCTTCAGAAAACAGACTGTCCCCAGAGAACACTTCGAGATCTTGGGACCAGAAAGGATGTACCTGGACTCCTGGAATTCCCTCTCCAGCCTTCAGGTCACGTGGGGATGTGAGCTGAAGCAGTACGGGCTTCCCTCAGCCTTCCTGTGTCCAGGTGAGCAGCCTCCTGCTGCAGAGCTGCTCTCCCCGGCAGGCGCAAAGCACAAGGCTGCGCATGCTTCTGTTCCTGTTCTCTTCCTGGCTCCTCAAGAGGTAGGTGACATTCCTCAGATCTTCTGTTTGTGCTTCCTGTAGTGTACAGGGGCACAAAAGCAAAGCAAGTCCCAGCATCAGCCTGAGAACCTACCAATGTGTGACCCAGGGTTTCTCAACCTCAGCACTACCGACATTTGCAGCCTGATCATTCTTTGCTGTGGGGGACTGCCCTGTACGCTGTAGGGTGCTCAGCAGCATCCCTGGCCTCTACCCAGTGGTAGAACTCCTTCCCCCAGTAACGACAACAGCAAAAGTCCAATGCTGCCCGAGGACCAAATCCACCCGAGTTGAGAACCACTGGTATAAATGTAACTAAGGTAACTGCTCTGTGGTACTCTCAGATCAGAAAAAGACAAAACTCCTTCCACAACACAGGACTGGCTTGCTCCCGCCTCTTCCTGCTGTCTTCCAGGTGTGCTTTGTAAGAAAGTGCACAACCACATCTTCATCAGGGACATTCACTAAGCACGCCTCTAGGTCCAGCACCACACCAGGCACTGTGGAGGAGCCAGGGGAAACTGAAGGTGCGGTCCCCAGAAGCTCACAGTCATTCCATGGGGGACAGTGGTAACACCCAAAACAGAAGCGACTGATCCAGGGCAGTGGGGAAAGTTGCATCATTCATCTAGTGAAGACCTACACAGGAATCGAGGGGTCATGCAGCAGGCAGGGGGAAGGCACAGAGGAAAGAAGGGGCAAAGCAGTCAGGAGACAGCAGATGACACGCTGCAGGCATCCGATGGCAGGGAGAAGCCATCACTGCCACCTGGCGTGGCTTAGTAGAGCCATGACTGAGCTGAGCTGGGTATTGAAGGACAGGGAGTCAGCGGCCTTCTGAGCAGCGGAGACAGGGAGAGCAAAGGCCTGAAGGCTGGATGCCTGGCCTACATGAAGGGAGCTTCATACAGTAACACAAGGGCTGCTTTTCTGCTTTGGAGACAGCCCGTGTGTGCCGCAGAAGCTCCGAGATGAGTGTGACCGAGATGAGTGTGATGCACGGAGGGAGCCAGGAAACGCTGGGTGAATGCAGGATAGCGGGGCAAAGATGGGTTTGTTGGCATCTGTGGCGTTATAAGGCTAAAGCCCACAGCCCGGCCCACTGCCCAGGAGCCCTAGCCAGCCTTAGGGCGGGATCCAGAGGAGTCAGACTCTTGGCCTGCTTCCTGGGGCTGTCACAGCAGGAGGCGTGACTCAAGGCCTCCCCCGCTCAGGTGAGTCACATACCTGCAGCTCCCCCACTGTTGAAGCTGCTGCCTGGAGCCAGTGCCTGGGGCCACCCAGCCTCAATCCCTCAAAGCCCCAGGCAGGCCCCTCAATCCCCTCCCGGGTATCTTTACACACTGGAGCCCCTCACTCAGGAGGCTGTCCCCCCACCCCTCACCCCTGCCCAGCACTCAGCTCCCCCACTCCTCAAACCTCCAGCAGGTCAGTAGCCTGTGTGATGCCTCTGATCCAGCCTTTGCAGCACTGGCAGTGCTAACTTAGCCTGCCATTAAACTGAGCGGTGAGGTTGTGTCTCTCCCTTTCCATCCTCCCTGTCCCCCACCCTGTCTTGCATGGCAACCAGGGCAGGGACGCTCTTCAGGACTGTCCTGGGCCTGACACTAGCCCATGGTGGTAACAGAAGGAAGGTGGTGAGATGCCAGGATGCAGCCCTCCCAGCTGCCAGCAGCCTGGGTCTTTGTGTCCAGTTATAGATGCTCCATCACCTCTTCCTCTCATGCTCTGAGGGGCACTGGGAGCGGCTGGCATCACTGCCTCTGGGTTCTGGGCAGCAGGAGGGAGCCGGCCTGAGCACCACAGTGGGGCAGGTGGGGAGGGCAATCCCGAGCCAGCAGGAAGGGCGCCTGCCCTTCAGGGAGATGGGGCTCATTAAAGGAAACTGAACATTGAAAAAAAAAAGAGAACAACAGCAAAAGGTAGCCTTGCTGTTGGGCCAAGGCTCTTTCCCCATACAAAGAAACGTTCCCTCTCCTTGTGTTCCCTGCTCCTTGCCGAATAGTGCAGCTGACTAGATAAAACCCATGGGCCTCTCCACTGGCCTTGACTCTAAAACTGCCAGCAGCCTCCGGTCCATCCTGAGGAGACCCCCAGCCCCAGCTGTCTCCCTCCAGCCCACACTACTTTCCCTGCTGGGTGTGTCAGGTGTCACCCACAGCCTGGGCCTTCCCTGAGCCCAGCCATCCCAGTGCTATGGGCCACTGCCCTGCTGTGGCCAGATGGGTGGGCAGTCCCCGGGGGCAGCTAGGGGAGAGGTGCTCATGAGTGGGGCTGAGCTATCCCTGGGCAGTGCCAATTTCCATCAGTAGTCCTTCCCTCTCTTGTCTCCTCCTTTCTGCTCTTCACTTGTTCCTGCCCAGTGCTCCTCGGCTGCCAGTACTTACCCGGCTTCATCCCCCTCTCCCTGTCCCCTCCAGCCTAAGTGGGCCTGATACGAATTTCAGACCTGTTGGCTGCTGCAAGAACACACCAGGATCAGGGTCGAGGAGAAGCCTCCCGGACGGAGGAAAGCCAGGCGGGAGTGAGGAGGGTCCCACCTTCCCTGCGTGTGTGCATGGCCAGGAAGCCAGGCAGCAGCTGCAGCAGGGCCATAAAGCCAGAAGGGCAGCCCCAAGCCTGGAGGTGGCCAGGCAGCAGTGAGGGGAACTGCGAATCCCTGCAGGGCCATGCAGGACAGAAAATGGGCACAGCGCTGGAAAAGGACACAGAATCACCTTTCTCATCTCTGCCTTAGCTTCTTCCTGAGCCTTGGTTGCTGCTGCCCAGCCTGGCCCCTGCACCCTAGCCATGTAGGCACGTTCTGCTCCCTGAACACAAATGCCCCATGCCTTCCTCAGGCTCCAGCCTTTGTGCCTGCTCTCCCCTCTGCCTGGAATGCACTTCCCTCCTTCTTCACCTGGCAAATGCCTGTTCGTCCTTAGAGACGCCCCCCAGGTGACACTGCCTCCAGGAAGCCTTCTCATTTCTAGGGCTTAACCCATAGTTACACTGATAGCACAGCACGGTAATCACACGTTGTCCCCCACCAATTACTAACTTTGAGGACAAAAGTTGTCTTACGCTACTTGGCACCTGGCATACAGCAGGTATTTATACATATCGGATGGGTGGGTGGATTACTGAATTGCCAGCAGTCCAGTGAGGAAAAGGATGAGTGGGGAACTCGCTTCCATCAGCTGGCAAGGCTGGGACGTCCAGAGCTGCCGGTGAGAGAAGGAGGATGGCACAGGTGATGGGGGTCCCTGGCAGCTATCTCTACCACCCCCACCACTTTGGAGAAACATGGTCACGGGAGTGTCCTGATTCCTGGTGGTGACCCTCTTCTCTCCTTGCTCCTAGTATTTCTGCCTGTCGCTTATCATCTGGTTGAGCTGGTGGCAGGAGTCCTGGCCCATGTGTATTACCAGAGGGCGAGTGAACGTTTCCTCCTCCTCCATTCTCTGTCCATGCCCCGATGAGGCAATGTGGGGGGACCCCCGATGAAGCAATGCAGGGGGATAACAATGTGGGGGATGCATTGTGATGAGGGAAGCCGAGGTAGGCACAGGGGTGGCCCCGTTTCCCGCCCTGGCAATCGTCCACACATGCGGATCCCAGCTGCTGGTCCCAGCTCCGGCAATTCCCAGATTCCACTGATACTGCTGTCTTTCACATGGGAGTTGGGGAGGGGGGTTCCCATGGGAAGTTACGTCATCCCTCTTCCCTTTCAAGAATGGTCTAGAGGATGAATCTATCTGTCAGAGACATCCAAGAAGAAAGGCCTGGGCCAGGATCCCACGGAAGACTGTGAAGTCAGGATCAGGTCTTGCCTGCCTGGATTGGACAGGGACGCAGTGACCAGTCCCATCAGCTCCCACCCTGCTGCCCTCTGAATCGAGAGTTTGAGGTCATGACCAGGGTAACATTCAGCTGGTAGAGACAGCACAACCTTGCTGGTTGTTTAAGCCAGTGCTGGAATGGTGCTCACAGGGTAACAATTGTAAGTATTTTGAATATCACCTCTTAATGGAAATTGAGATCAGCAGACATTTCACAGTTTCTGGTGTCTAGCCGCACCCCTGCCTCCTGCCAGCTCTGGCTGCCACCCTTTACCCGAGCCACCACCTGGCATCACACCTGCGCATCGGCCCTGCGCATCACACCTGCACCCTGACTCAGGGCCCAGCTGCTGTAACTTCCTCTCCATGGCCTTCTGCTGCCCTGTCTCCCAGTGACGGTCTTCACACCGTCCAGAGACCACAGTGCTCTAGAGTTAGCTGGGAAGCCTGGGAGCAGGCCTGGGTGCTGGGCAGGGGTGGCGTGGTCCCGCTGATGCCATCTTCACCACTGCTCAGCTGAGTGATGAACAGAAGCAGCGCTTGAGCTGGACTCTGACCGAGAACTACAGGTAGGCTGGAGCCACACAGATCCCCGCCTCCGTAGACCAGCTGTAGCAGGAGGTACACTGTGCCCTATGCCCTTGAAGGCCAAAAAGACACAGGTTCAAATCCTGACTCTCGTCTTTCCTGTCTGTGTGACCCTGGGCAAGTTACTTACCCTCTCTGAGCTTCAGTTGTCACATCCCTAAAATGAAGTGTCTTTGGGGTGTGTGAGCATTAAATTTGGTCACATCTGTAAAGTCTCCACCACCGTGAGAAGTGTCTGCTGAAGCCTGATTCCTTTCCCTCCTTCTCCCTGACTCCCTCCTCCAAGCCCACCCCTGCTGCCTTCCCGTTCTGGGTCCTGGTGGGCAGGAAGCTGGCAGTGCCAGGAGAACTCCATCTTCTGCCAGGATCTGGGCCAGGCGGCCTCTCTCAGGGCTTCTATCTGGGACTGCCTTCCTTCTTCCCTAGGGAGCAGGGAGCTGAGTTCCCATAAGAGGGAGCGGTACCGGGCAGGGGTATTTCAGTGAAGCCACCAAGAGAACGCCCCAGTTGTGAGCCAGCAGGCAGAGCGCTGAGGGACAGAAAGGTGGTCTCCTTTCCAAGAAGAGACGCGGCAGATCTCTCCAGCGAGGCCCACCATCCTGCCAGACATAGGGGGCGGGCAGAGGACCTCAGAGCTGTGCTGTCCAATACGGCAGCCACCACCCACATGTGGCTATTTACAGTTAAATTAAACAAAATCCAGTTCCTTGCTCACACCAACCACATTCCAGGCACTCAGGAGCCCCAGATGGTGAGTGAACGCCGAGCGGGGCAGCACAGATGCAGGACGCTGCCTCCATTGTGTTCCAGATCCCGATGGGTTAGTGTCGGAAAATCCGAGGCTGCTCTACCCGCCTGCTCTGGTCCTCCTCTCTCTGCCACCCCACTCCCCACCCCCACCCCCTGGGCCCGGGGCCTTGGTCTTGGACCGGGGAACGTCAGGTAAGTAGAGGACGTAGACGTCATGAGCTGGGAGATCCAGGGGCTTCATGGCTCAGCAGGGAAGGCCCCACCCCATCTCCCCAAAACTCAGGCCCAGCTCCCAGTTGGCGGAGGGGTCTCTCGCCTGAAATAGTGGCCTGGGGCACACGTGTATACACAGGTGCACACCCACACACACACTCATACCCCACAGGCTTAGCCCAGGATGGGGACGTGCAGCACACACTGCTGGGCAGCCCTGTGCAAGACTAAGTGTGCGCTCGCTGGGCTGCGCCCGTGAGGACCTGCGCGAGACAAGAATAGGACAGAATCCCCGCCCTCGGCCTCTCTCAGAAAGCCAGACACACAGCAGGCAACGTGCAGGCAGCGTGAGGCTGGGGCACCCTCAGAATAGAGAGCAGGGGAGGTGGGGAGGGCTCTGAGGGGTGTGGGCAGGGTTTGCTTAGGTGGAGAGGGTGGGAGTGGCATGAGGAAAGGTGCAGCTGAGAGCAAAGGCCGCGTCACCCGATGGAGACCTACGGGGCACCAGTGCACACGAACACGGGCCCTCACACCGGCCGGCAACAGTTAGAACCCCAGCCTACATCTACAGTGGGAGACTGAGCCCTGAGAAAGCAGTGGCTGCAGAGCCAGGTGGTCCTCCAGCAGCACCCCGTGGATGTAAATGACACGGTCACACCACCCGTATCCACACAAGTATGATCATAGAAGTTCTCTCATTAACTGTGGATGCTGCGCCAGGCTCTCTTCTAAATCGTGTCTTTCAGTCCTCACAACCACCCAGGGTGCAGGTGCTTTTGCTGGCCCCATTTTACACGCAAGGGGCCCAGCAGCCGTGCAGCACCAGCACACACAGCCAGAGACACAGGGATGGGCAAGGCCGTGTGCCTCCTCGTCCTCACCTTGCCAGTCCCTGCCCGGTCGGCTGCCGTTATGTTCAGCCTGGATGCCTGGCACCCACGTCCAGCGCTGTGGAGGACTAACCCCTTCCTTCTTTGGGGCTCAGGCACAAGTTTCCACTGTCTACTTCACTACAGTAAACGCGACTCTACTTCAGGGCAGGGCGGGTGCCTGACTCATGTTCGTTCACCCCAGGCACGTGGCAAACCTAGCACACCAGCTAGCTGAACTAACGAACCAACACAGCTCCGCCCACCCCACCCCCACTCCCACACCACAGACAGCCTCCCAGCTGCTGTATTCTGTGGTGGCCTGTGTAGGGACTTGAAATCTCAGTGCCCTGACTCAGAAGGGCAGGAAGTGACCCGAGTCCGCTGTCTTTGAATTGCTTCATATCTTGGCAGGCACTTCCCTGCCCTGGATTGGAGCAGCCGACCCCAGTCCTCACTCAGCACTCACACCTACCCCTCTGGCCAACACTGGCCTGCCTGCACCATGGACTCTGGGACACCCTTTGTACCCCTGCCGGTCTGGGGCTCTGTGGTTTCACCTGGGAGCCTCTGGCGAAGCTGGTCCCTGTCCCTGTGTCCTGCCTCCTGGATGGCCAGGGTCCCCTTGCCCCTTGTGGCTTGTCACCATCCTGTGTTCTGCCATGCAGCAGTGCACAGCCCCACTCTCTGGGGACCCTCCCCCCCATCCATCTTGCCCACCTCGTAGACCTAGCCTATCCCCAGGACATCCAGCATCACCTCCTTAAAGAAACTGGAGGGCTGCAAAAGGTAGCAGATAGGTGTCCTGCTGGCAGTGCTGGCCCCCACCAGCTCTCAGCTCACACAGGGGAAGGGAGAGATCACAGGGAGAGCAAAGAGAGGTTGGCTGAGTATTTGAATCCTGTGTCCTCGGCCCTGGAACCCCACACAGGCTTCTCGCCTCCAGCCTCTGCCTCCCCCTGCAGTTCGAGTGCTGTGGAAGCAACAGCTCAGCGACCGGCAGCACAGTGCGTACCTGCTGTGGTGGGAGCCGAGAGACCCCAGTGCCTGATGGCTGCTGCAAGGTGGTGGTGGCACTCCGCAGCCAGCCGGCCCACCCTCCAACATCTGCAAGGGGGAGGTGAGTGCACAAGTGCAAGCTGGGGACAAGGAGAGGGCCCCAGCCTGGCTCTAGGAGCCCGCAAAGGGTCGGGTCAGACAGATGAGTGTGGAAAAAGCAGAGCACACATGCTCCTTGGCTGTAAGTCCACGGTGCCAGGCCTTCAGAGGCTATACAAAGCCCTGGGACAAGCAGCTCCTACCGGAAGAGTCTAGGGCACTATGGCATGTCCCTGGGGCCACTTACGAAACCTGTGAGCCATTCAAGGCCAGGTCCAGCCCGTGAGTCCTCTGGTCCACTCTCTGCCTCTGCCACATACAGAGGGACGGCCAGCCCTTCCTCCCCACCCCTGCCTGCTCCTGGGCCAAAGCCATGTCATCTGCCCCTCCCTTCCAGGGAGGCTGCCTCACCAAGCTACCCGCTACTCATGGGGGCGGTGGGCGTCGGGGTGGCCTGCCTGTAGGTGAGTTGCAGTTGGGGGTTTAGGAGGGAGGTATGTCGGAGGGCTCTGAGCCCCTCTCCAGTAGCCAAGATCTCCAGTAACTGGGCTGAAATAACTGGCCCTTGGCATGTCCGTGCCCTGCCCTGCTCTCTTCTCTCCCCTTCCCTTTGCAACTAAGGCTGAACGCCACACTCAGTCTGTCTCCCAGAGAACATGAAGGAAGGTGCCTGAGGGTCAACATGAACTCCTAAGGACCAGGGGCGTGGGAGGAGTGTGGTTGTGGGCTGGGGTACATGCGTTCACCTCTAGCGGGTGCATGTGGGGGTGAGTGTGCCGGCCTGCCGTGGTGTGTGGGGGTCCATGGGGGTTGGCGTGCTCCTGGGTCTGTGTGGTTGGGGTGGTGTGTGCACGATGTGTGTTTAGGATGCTTGTGCATGTGTGAGTGTGTCTGTATCTGTACTCATTCCTTTGTGTGTGTGTGTGTGTGTGTGTGTGTGTGTGTATACCATCAGCCCTCCATATCCATGGGTTCTATATCCTTGAATTCAAGCAACCATGGATCAAAAATACTCAAAAAAATGGATACACTGAACATCCTTGTCATTACCCCCTAAACAATAAGCATAACAACTATTTACATGGCATGCGGGTTAGGTATTACAAGTAATCTAGGGATGGTTTAAAGAACACGGGAGGATGTGAAGAGGTTATATGCAAATGCTGCACCCTTTTATATCAGAGACTTGAGCATCAGTGGATTTTGGAATCTAGAACAACTCTGTGTGTGTGTGTGTATGTGTGTGTGTGTGTATGCATGTGTGTGTGTGTGTGTGTGTATGTGTGTGTGTGTGTGTGTATGTGTATGTGTGTGTATGTGTGTGAGCACACACATTCCCCTTACATATGCAGCGCTCTCCCTGAGGATGGGCAAGGGCATTGGCTCCTGTTTCTCCCCTTCCACCCAGTCAGTCCCCCAGCTGCCACCCAGGAAGTAAAGGTCTAGAATCTGCAGAGGTGAGAGCCCTTCAGGTGTGGGCTGTTCTTCTAGAAGGAGCACAGCAGCCCTGCTGTCCTGCCCAGCCCTTCCCCATCCAGGGCTGTGAGCACCGGCTAGGGAAGAGGAAGAGTCGTGCTTAGGCCCCAGAAGACCCAAGTCCAGTCCTGGCTCTGCTCCTGTGTGACCTGGAGCTACTTAACTTCCCTGTCACTCAACCCTTCATCTGCAAAATGTGCATAATTTCTTCAACCTCCCAAGGTCTAAATAAGAATGAGGTGATGCCTGTGACCCACTTGCAGCGCCCGACACACAGGAAAGCCTGCTAAGCCTTTATCTAGATGTCTGTAGACTTCAGAGGATTTCCGATACTTCCGCTCATTGTGTCCACACAACAACTGAGACCCAGGCAAGACAAGGAGTAGTGTTCTCCTCACTCTACAGATCAGAAAGTTGAGACCCAGGGAGGCATCTTACCAGGGTCTCACCCCCCTGAACTGGCACCCAGGTCTCCTGGCATTGGCCCTTCGCTTTGTCGAACTCCCTACCCTGGCACAGAGGTCTTGGGAAAGAGAAGCAGGGGATGGTGCCTTTGGCTGGCTTGGAGAACCTTCCAACACAGCGTCCGTTCAGATGATGGGGCCAGCTACCCACATCATCTTTGGGCCTGGAGGGGCCAGTGGCAGCCTAACACACTCGGAGGAGGGTCCTTAGCCTTTGTAGGGACACTCATCTTGATTCTGCCACCTGCAAGTTGTGTGACCTAGGGCCAGTTATTTCATCTCTGAGCCTCAGTCACTGGTTTGCGAAATGGGGCTGACAAGACCTCATCTGGTGGCCGGGGTGGGAATTAGCAACACACATGTAAATACTTGGCTCATTGCTGAGCAGATAGCAGATGTCGACACGTGACACCATCATTTATATCATCTCTGCAAGGGCACGCTGTCTCTCAAAAAAAAAGCCCCAGGTGCTCCCTGGCCAGACCAGCCTGCTCCCCTTCATCCTCACTCACCTGCAGGGCCAGGGAGCCCAGGAGGCGTTAGCATCGCCCCTCTGCTGCACCTCCCCAGGGCAGGTCTTCTGTCCTACGTGCTGAACCCCAGAGGAGCCACCACTGGGAGCTGGGGCAGGGCTGCTCTGTGCCGCTGCACCAGGCTCAGCTGACGTTTCCAGAAACCTGTGACTCCCCTGAAGAGGGGGCCTGCTCTGTATGGACGCTGACCAAGCCTGCGTCACTCTATTTCTTCCTGACCTCTCCGGCCCCGAGAGCCCATAGCAGCTGCAGACGAGGGCAGTGAGGCGGAGGGCAGGCAGTGGGCCTGCAGATGCCCTGAGCCTAAGGTCCAGGTGGATGGAGCTGCTGTGTAAGTCTGATGCAGAGGAAGCCAGATCGTTGGGCAGCGGACACTTCCCCCCATCCCCAG